GGAGGACCCAAATGGGCTGCCCCCATATCCCCACAGTGCTCAAACCCTGAGTGCTGCCAGCACCTGGACCCCAGGCTGGGCAGGCAGCCCAGGGCATCTGTGTTCCTCAGCTGTGCAGAACGAGAGGAAGGACCCAAATGCATCATGGATGCACAGGGGCCTGCGGGAAGGCTGCTGGTGAGCAGGAGAGGAACCCTCCCCGGGTGGAGGGAACAGACTCCCAAGGGATGCTGAGGCTCAGGTGAGCCCCAAGCCACTGGTGTGACAAAGCATGGCAGGAGGCATCTGTACCTCCCCACAAGGTCACATATCAGTTCCTGGCAACAGCTACTGTGACCTGCACTCCAGAAGAAATCATGTGTGGGGACAAATTCTGAGCACAGGGTGGGAAGGCAGATGTGTCTGTCAGGAGACTGATAGTCCCAAAAGGGAGGCAGATAAGGTGCCCTTGGAAGAGTAAATAGCACAGAAAGAAGAGAAACATGAGAATTACGGATTCATCCTGAGGATGACCCAGTGGCTGAAACGGGATCCTCCTCTCTTAGTGCAATGGGAGAGGGGCCTCTGAGACCCTTTCCAGTCAAAGGAGTGTCCTCCCTACTAGCAGTAAACCTCTTCCTTCTCCAGTGAGGAGGCTGAAGAAGGATGTGGTGAGGCAGTAGGTAGGGTCACTTCCCTGCTTGTCTGGAAACATGAGCCTTCGCCTCAAGGAGCCGTTCCAACAAGCCGGGCTGGGGCTGGGGCTGGGGCTGCCCGCTGTGACACGTTCTCCTTCCTCGGCGGGGCTGTGCACTGGATTTCAGCTGGGCTCATCAGTAACCGAGCCAGCCGCGTGTGCCGGGCCCCGGCGTCCTGCGCGGCCGCGGCTCCTCGCGGGGCGGCGGGGCCGGCAGGGGGCGCAAGAGCGCCGCGCACCGACCGTGGGGGCGTGGGGGGAGCGGTGCTCGAGAGATCTGCGCTGTCCGCTCTGCGCTCTGTGCTCTGCGCTGCCCGCTCTGCCCGCTCTGCGCTCTGTGCTCTGCGCTGCCCGCTCTGCCAGCTCTGCGCTGCCCGCTCTGCGCTCTGTGCTCTGCGCTGCCCGCTCTGCGCTGCCCGCTCTGCCCGCTCTGCGCTGCCCGCTCTGCGCTCTGTGCTCTGCGCTGCCCGCTCTGCGCTGCCCGCTCTGCCCGCTCTGCGCTGCCCGCTCTGCGCTCTGTGCTCTGCGCTGCCCGCTCTGCGCTGCCCGCTCTGCCCGCTCTGCGCTGCCCGCTCTGCGCTCTGTGCTCTGCGCTGCCCGCTCTGCCCGCTCTGCGCTGCCCGCTCTGCGCTCTGTGCTCTGCGCTGCCCGCTCTGCGCTGCCCGCTCTGCCCGCTCTGCGCTGCCCGCTCTGCGCTCTGTGCTCTGCGCTGCCCGCTCTGCGCTGCCCGCTCTGCGCTCTGTGCTCTGCGCTGCCCGCTCTGCCCGCTCTGCACTCTGCGCTCTGCGCTGCCCGCTCTGCCCGCTCTGCACTCTGCGCTCTGCGCTGCCCGCTCTGCCCGCTCTGCGCTCTGTGCTCTGCACTGCCCGCTCTGCGCTGCCCGCTCTGCGCTGCCCGCTCTGCGCTCTGCGCTGCCCGCTCTGCGCTCTGCTCTGCCCGCTCTGCGCTGCCCGCTCTGCGCTCTGCGCTGCCCGCTCTGCGCTCTGCGCTCTGCCCTGCCCGCTCTGCCCTGCCCGCTCTGCCCTGCCCGCTCTGCGCTGCCTGCTCTGCGCTCTGCCCTGCCCGCTCTGCCCTGCCCGCTCTGCACTGCCCGCTCTGCGCTGCCCGCTCTGCGCTGCCCGCTCTGTGCTCTGCGCTGCCCGCTCTGCGCTGCCTGCTCTGCGCTCTGCGCTGCCCGCTCTGTGCTCTGCACTGCCCGCTCTGCGCTCTGCGTTCTGCTCTGCCCGCTCTGCGCTCTTTGCTCTCCACTCTCCACTGCCCGCTCTCTGCTGCCTGCTGTCCACTCTCCGCGGTCCGGTGCTGGGTCCGAGCCGCTCTGTGAGCACAAGGCAATGGCCAGGGGAGTCCTCTGCAGGGCTGGGCTGGCTTTGAGTGTGTGCTGCAGGGGAAGGGGGAATGGGGGGGCGAGGTACAGAGGGTAGAAGAGGGCATCAGGCTGGGAGACGGATGGTTCAAGGGGGACTTCAGAGCCCCTTCCAGTTCCTAAAGCAGCTCCAACAGAGCTGGAGAGGCTCTTTACAGTGATAGGACACAGGGAATGCCTTTCCACTGGCAGAGGGCAGGGATAGATGGGATATTGGGAAGAAATTCTACCCTGTGAGAGTGGTGAGGGCCAGGCACAGGGTGCCCAGAGAAGCTGTGTCTGCCCCATGCCTGAAAGTGCTCAAGGATAGGTTGAATGAGCAATTTGGTCTAGTGAAAGATATCCCTGCTGTGCAATTGGACTGGATGATCTTTTAAGGTCCCTCCAACCCTCTGACAATTCTGTATCTGCCCCATCTGACTTGGTGCTGGTGCTTTTGCTCCAACAGCTTGTGGATGTCTGTGTCCTTTCAGCAATCCTTTTTTGACTGGGAGGCCTAGCTGGCACCAGATGCTGTGCTTTCATGAGGCACAAGGGGCAGGAATGGATGCAGAATGGGAGCTTGGGACAGGCAGAGCTTCCTGCAGACCACAAGGTGACAAACAACACAGCGTGCTTGCCCTCTCGTCCTGCCAGACCTGCCCAGGAAGGCAGCAAACTCTCGGTGATGTCAGCATGCTGAGGAACACCAACAGGGTCTCAGTCTGATTCCTACCTCAGTGAGTGTTCCATCCCTGCTGATGTCTGCAGCACTCCCACTTGCCAAACCCAGATTCACATCTTTCTCTCAGGCTCTCCATCCTATAAAGAGGGAACAGGGGAAACAGGGATTCAGGAAACAGCTTCTGCCCATCTCAACTGGGTTTTCACTGATGTAATGCCTGTGGAGAGCAGTCCCAAAACTTTTCCATATGGTGGCCAGCACTTCCAACATCATGTTTGAGTCACGGGAGGCTGGGGGTCCAATGGGTGTGAAAACAGCAGCACTGAGGTTGCGGTGATGCAGCCTCCCAGCTCAGAACCACCCTGGAGCAGCCAGGCCAGGCTGGGTCAGTATCACAGCTCCTGTTCATGGTTGTCCTTGTGTTTCCTGTTGAAGAAAATGCCTTCGGGTCCATCCCTTGGACAATTCCTGCTTTGTGTAATTTCATGATCTTCTAGCCATACCCCATTTTGCCTTATTGCCTTCATCATCCCAGCCTGTCCCTGGTGCCACACTGTCCTGGCAACGCTGGGCCTTGCTCTGTCCCGCAGTGTGATGCGATCCCACACGAAGCAAACATTGGCCCTGCAAACATTGGCATCCCATCTGGGATCTGCACTGGAGCTGCTTTTATGGCCTCTGGCTTGACTGCCCAGCTCTCCAAATGCACAAGTGTCCACGAGAGAGACGGGGGGGCTACAAAACGCCCATAGCATTGGACTTAGAGCCGTGATGTCTCCCTGCTCATGGCACAGGTCTCCTCTGTCCTGGTGACTTCACTCTTGTTTATCCACGTCCCTGCTGCTGGAATAGGAGGGGAAACCTCTTTAGTGCAACAAGGCAGAGAGCAGCAAACAGCAATTCCCCTGGGGCTCGCGGCCAGCTGGGGTCTGCTCCTTCAGCGAGCATCTGCCAGCCGGCTGGGAAGCTGCTCCTGCAACCTGCTGCCCCAGAGCAACAGGATGTGGGTAACCGGGGGTCCCCGGGAGCAGGGTGATGGTGGGTGGGGGCTTTGAACGTAACGGGTGGGCACTGTGCTGGCACCTTGCCCTTCTTCCCACCTCCGGTGCTGCAGTCCTCACATCCATTGCAAGGGCAATTACAAGAGGATGTTCACCAGGCCAGGCTGGCAGATGTGGGGGCCGCAGGGCTGTGAACAGGGCCCCAGTGAGAGAGAGAATCCAGGTCCGAGTTTCCTGCTCTCCTCCACCGCCTTGCACAAACTGATTAAATTAGTTTCACCTTTTTCGTGGCCCGCTTGCAGGTGGTCTGGGGATAGCGGAGCAGCCCCGCGGGCAGCCCGGAGGCAGCTGCGCTGGGTACGTAAGTGCCCCACTTCTCTCCCTCCCTCCCTACCCAAAAATCAGAGACCAAGGGCGACTCTGGTGCAGCAGCGCATGAAAAGCCCCTGCATCACGGGATGGAGCGGAGACTCCAGCTTTCTCCTTAAGAGGAGCTGCTTCCGCCTGGTAAATGCCTCATTTGCTTTGGGAAGCAGAGGGAGAATAATCGGCCGCCTTGGCTGCGGCAGCGCTGAGCCCTCGGCGCGGTGGGCTCCGGCCGGCAGCCACCCGCACTGCGCGGGGATGGACCCGCCGCGGGCCGAGCGAGCTCCCGCCGTGCGGCGGGGCCGGCCGGGCAGCAGGTGGGACCGCGGCCACCGGGAGCCGCGGGGAAGGCTGACCGGGGGAGGGCTGCCCGCCGCTGGGGCGGCTCCCGGGAGCCGCGGGGAGGGCTGCCCGCCGCTGGGGCGGCCCCGCTCCCGCCCGGCCCCGGCCCTGCCCGCTGGGCTGCCGGCGGGGCGGAGGGCGGAGGCAGGGCTGGCAGCGGCGGCGGGCGGCGCACACGCACACACCTCCCTGCATGTGATTAAATGGCTCGAAATCTGCTTCTGATTTCCTCGGGGAGGTGACTTTTCCCTTCTTTTCAACCCGGGATTTATTGGAGTCTTTTTACTCCACGTCCAGGCGGCGGTCGGGGCTCAGTTTCTCCAATTCTTGCTTTTCTTTTCGTTTTTATTTTTTTTTAAGGGGTGTTTTTTCTTTTCCCTTCCTCTCCTTTTTCGCCCTCCCCTGCCGCTTCCCCCCTCCCTCCCGCAGCCGAAGCAGCCGCGGGCGGTACGGTGGAGCGGGCGGGAGCGCGGCCGGCTGCGGGCACGGCGCTGGGACCCGCCCGCACCGCCGGGAGCAGCGCTCCCGCTTTCCACTATTTCGCCTTATTTCGTCCCCAACGCACGATTCCCTGGAAATTTGTTATCATTGCTTTTTCCCCCACATACCCTTTTCTTCACTTTTTTCCCTTTCTTCGTGCTGCGGCCAGCACCGGGAAGGAGCTACCCCTGCCCGCCGTCCGCCCCGCCGCGGCCCCGGCTCCTCTCGCCGCCGCTCCAGGACCTGTCGCCCAGACCGGCCCCGCTACCTGCCTGGCCGCGGTAAGCTGCGCTCCCAACTTCCCAGCGCTCCGGGCTCCCGCTCTCCTCCCCACCGCTCCCTCCCTCGTTGCCTTTTATTCCTCCTTCTCCCCCCGCACTCACCCTCCCTTTATTTCCCTTTCCATCCTTTCACCGCCGAGAACGGGACCTCCCCGAGCCGCCGAGCCCCGCTCCCGTCCCCGGGCAGCTCCGGCCGCCGCCGCCGCTCCGCACTCTGGCCCGGCCCGGCCCGGCCCGGCTCGCTGCCGCCGCCGCCCCGCAGAGCCGGCCCGGCTGTTCTCGGCGCTGCAGGGAGCCCGCAGTGTCGCAGCCCCGGCCCCGCTCCGTGAGCTGCGGCGCGGGCAGCGGCGGGAGCCCCGCCAGGCCGAGCCCGCGGTGCCAGCCCCGGCTGACCGGGCACGAGGCTCGCACGTGGTCCCCTGCCCGCCGCTCCCACCGCGGGCCCCGCTCCGCCGGCACAAAGCCACCTGGGCGGGCGGCACCGCTCCTGTCACCGTGCCAGGCCGGGTCCATCGCTGCTCCCTTCCGAGCGCGGCTGCCCCGGGACTCCCCTGCGGACTGGGCCGGCTCCCTTCGGAAACGGCTCCCGTGGGGTGTGCTCTGCTCCACGGCAGTTCTGGAGCCAGACTGGGCGAGACCCTCGGCGCTCCGAGCACCTGACCCTTGAACCACAGCTGGGGTGAGAGTTCTGGCCAGTGAATGTGGGAGCGAGAAGCTTCACGGGAACCGAAGCTGGGCTGCATTTGGTGGGTTTGCTTTTGCTTTCCTCTCTTGGAGCTGCTGAAACCTCATTTCCTCAAAACGCTATCCTGCAGTTTCCCTGGCCCACTGGAGAGTGGGTGGGTGGAAATACCTTTCTTGGGATGAGGGCTGACTGGTGTGATGGGGACGTGGTGCTTGGCAGTCTGCTGTGTCACCAAGCAGGGCGGCTGAGGAAGGGCAGGAGCACGAGCTGCTCTGGCAGTGCTGGGTCCTGCTGGCTTGATGCTCATCTAGGCAGCACTTGGGCATGAATACTTCTGTCTCAGGGAGCTCATCCCATGAACATATGGGATGTAAGCCAGGCTGAGCATCCCCACCTCCATCCATGCCGTTTGTGTTGGACCAGTAGCCAGGCTGACAAAAAACTGAGTGCAGACATGGATGCGCACATCCTGCATGACTGGAAATGCCACAGACCCTTCTTCCCCGGCCAGGTTTGCTGTTGCCTCTCTCTCAGAGTTGGGAGAGGCTAGAGCTCTCTGTAACCCGTGGAGAGGGATGGGGCTTTGGCCGTGTGCTGGAAACAGCCTCCAAGGTGTTTGGATGGATGGATGGAGGGCAACTTTTTTCTGTGTTTCTGCAATATCCCATTTACAAAACAGAGGGAGCTGCTGTGCTGCTCTGACACCTGTTTGGAGAGGGCTGATGAGGGGACAGGAGATCTAGCAGTCCAAGAGCAGGGTGGGCTGAAAGGGTCCCAACATGCCTTCCTCTTCTATCTGTGAGTGGAAGAAAGGTAGGTCCCTGCAGAGAAGAGGGCAGGTGTAATGCCAGGCTGGGAAGGAGCTGATGTGTGTCTGCAGGCTGTGGCAGAGAGAAGCCTGGCCTAGGGATGCAGCTGAGCACAAAATGCTCACCAGAAATGCAAGCTGCTAGGCCTCCAGGCTGAGGAGCATTTCCACCACTCTCTGACCATCAGAACAGTAGTTTTCAGTCTGGGTTGGATGGAATGGAGGGCCCACCTTGGCTGGCTGCTGGCAGAGGTGTGACTCTGAGAGGGGGTTTCCCCAGCCCTGAAGAAGGAGGTGAGCATCAGTGCACACCTTGGGGGGTGTGCTGAGATGTCTTCAGCAAGGAAGCAGCCCAGCATCTCGAGGGTGTTGAGCAGCACCTCTGCCTCCTGTTCCCCCACCCTGGTTAGCCAGGCCCTGCCCCATAAGGAAGCAATTATTTTGTGCCCCTTGGAGCCCCTCCCTGAGCCTGCGCAGGACACTTGTGCTCGGTATGGAAACGCGACAGATTTTCCATATTCCACTTTGCCCTGTGATGTTTAAAAACGTACACGACAGCTTCCTCCTAATGCTGCAGGCTTGGCTGGCACTCAAGCAATAACAGACTGTGGGACACCAGGGGCATGAAATATCGTACCAATAGTCAGAGAGGGGGTAGAAAAAAATTAGATGTCAAAGTGCAGTGTGTTTCCAGCCCGTTGTTGTGAGCCATCCTCTGCCCAATGTGAGAGATCTTTCAAGGCTGGCCAAATGTTGTCATTTCTGAATACCATTTTAAATATTCATCCAGACTATTTTCAACATCTGTGCCCGGCATGTTGTGAAAATGCAATGAGGGATGTTATGGAAACCAGATCACTTTATTCTCATATGGAGTGGAAAGGAGTGGAAGCAATGAGGACTTCTGGACTGGAACTCTGAGTTCCACTGGGAACTTGCATCCGCTGGGAAAACCCTCTGCACCTTGAGGGATGTTGCTGAGACCACTCAGTAGAGCCAAACACTGTGGTAGGAATGTGCAATGGGGTTCGAGAGGCTGCAGTGGGGTTAGAGTTGGGTAAAAAAAACTTAACTGGTCAAGATGTAGTAGAGGTTAATAAATGGGGTAGAAAAAAACATGGAATACCCTGAGTTGGAAGGGACCCACAAGGACTATTGAGTCCAAATGCATCCAGGCAGTGATTGCTTGTCCTGCAAGATCAAGGGCTTCAAATGCCTCCTTAAGCTGCTGTTGCATTGGGAACTTTAGGGGGAGAGCTCCAGCTTGCACTAGCTGGGGATGCAAGGAGCATTGCAGCAAAATGGATCCAGGCTCCATCATATGGCTGATACTGAGTTGAAACCTCCTCTGCCCAGAGCAGGACCACCTCTATCCAGGGGCCAGTGGTGAGCAGAGTGGGCATGGGGGAGCCGGCAGGACACCTATGCTGGGCGTTGGTCCCTCCTTGCTGTGGTCAGCATAGCTTATGAGTCACTGAAACTGGTGAGCAGGGATGTGTCCGAGCGTCCCGCACTTGACAGCTCTGTGCACATAGCTAAGGAGCCTGGGGACTGTTTGTTTTATGGCGGATTTCTTTTTTCTTTTATTTTTTGATTGTTTTCGATAACCTTGGAAATCTAGGCTCTGTTGCTGCCTTTTGTAACATCAGGCTGCAACTAATTCAAGCCAGGCCAGATCCTGACCACAGGTATGCCAGTGTAAATTTGAATGGAGCTGCTTACGTCTTGGTTTGGCCCGATGTGAATGGAGTTACTTCGGGCCGATGCCAAAGCACTGAGGTCAGAATCTGGCCCATCCTTTCCTGTGTGCAGTGTAATTTGTCCGCGTCTCCTGGCACCGCCGGGGTATCGTATGGCTTGTGTAATTCTGGCTCCGACCTGCCAAGAGTGCATTGCAATATCCATCACCTGCAGGGCCTGCTGCAGGAAGATGCTGCTGCGTGATTGCCCCCCTGAGCTGTGCCCGAGGGGCTGCGCGGAGCGGGCAGCCCTGCGGATGTGGGGCCATAAGCACTCAGAAGCTTCTGATGCTTAAATATCAGGAGGGATGAGGGAGCTTGTAAAGGAAAGTGAGGCATCTCCTTTGTGCCATTAGCCGTGTCCCAAGTGGGCACCAGTTGCTCCATTAGCGGCTGGGAAGGCGATTAGCACTCCCAGCCACACTGCATCCCTCCAGCTTCTCCCAGCGCACACTCCCTCCCTCTGGAAAGCTGAGCCGGACCAGTACCTTGGCTCCATGGAGTTTTTCCTTTCACTTTAAATACTTCTCAGTTGTGTTTTTATATCCCAGAAACACATGGAATGATTTATCCACGGCCGGAGCAGAGTTTGGGCCTGATTCTGTTTGTTGGCTGGAAGAATTAAGCTTCCCAAAGCTGGCATCGGCATGGTGGGAGAGGGACTGGGTATCCAGGGACCCTGGCAGACCCCCAGGATGGATCTTGTTCATGGGCTGGGGCAGAACTGCACAGGGTGGCTCCCACAGCACATGGGGCAAGGGGGTGCAGATGCTCTCGTTACAAAGGGCCTGTAACAAGGTGGAAATGTGCAGGTTGTAGCAGCAGATACACCCTGGTTAAGGGACATGCTCTGGTCATTTGTGCCTGGTTCAGCTTCTCTGAGCACATCATTTCTCTTCTACTTTGGGTCCTGTCCCATCCTCCCAGTGGCTTCCTTCACAGAGGACATCTGAGATGCTGGTGGGCTTTACTGGGGATGACACAGCTCAGGAACGAGCAGTCCTCTTGGATCAGTCTTACCCAAGAATCTTAGTTGTTGGACCCCCTCAAGTACTCAGGTCCTTTGGTCCTTGCCCAGGAATCTCTGCCTCCTGATCCTGGATTTTGCTGTGTGTGTTTGTGCCTCATATGTGTGGGTGGCTCTATCCCTGCCCCATGCTGCACCCAGGACCTTCTCTCTGTGCACAGTCTGATGCAGCACCTCATGGGGACCAGTCATTCCCATCTCAACCAGTTCCAAGTGAGGCCACGTCTTTTCCTCAAGTGATGCAATTCCCCCACGCACTGTGCTGTCCTGATCTGGAGGAGAAATGCAGTGGGCTGCAGCATGGCAGCAGCATCGGTGCAGGGGCGTCAACATGGGGAGCAGCACAGGTCCCTGGCAGGAGTGCAGCACCATTCCCCTGTCATTCCTTGGGGCTCTCCCATCCCTTTCCAGGGCAGTGCTGGCTGCTCAGCTTTAGCCATCACCTGCCCTCTAAGACCACATTTTTCCGACAGCAGAGCACCACTCGTGCCCTCCCCTCCACCTTAATTAGAGAGGGCTGCTCCTGTGCTGCAAAGGTCCTGGGATCAAATCTGGTTAACCTGCTTCCCTCCCTGCCCTCTGTTGTTCTACCTAATCCTGTAATTACTTCAGCAAAGTTGTTGTGGCCCTGGACTGCCAGGTGGTGATCCTGGGCCTGCTGTAGGCAGCAGCATCCACATTGTGGGAAGTTTGCTCTCCTTGCCCTGCCTCACTTGCTACACTTGCCTCATCCTTCTGTTTTGGGGACTAAGCACCTACCCCACAGCTCAGCATCGGGAGATCTAGAGCTCCAGGCATGCATCTGCACCCAGGATCACCCTCAGTGGCACTGCCTCCTGCAAAGACGATGGAAAAGAAGCCCACAGTGGCCTGGAGCATTGTCCTGACAAGTCTCCCACAAGTCAGGGAAACACTGCTGATCGCTCTGGGAAGTGTGTGGTTGTAGAGAGAAGGGGCGTGGAGGTGTTGGATGTGGAAGCTCATTTTTTTTTAAAGCACTTCTGAAGCGCTCTGGCAGCATGACTTCCTTCCAAGCCGCACGGCTGTTAGCATTCCCGGGGTGGAGGAGTGAGGAAATCGCCCACCTCAAAAATGCAGCCGCTTCTGGGGAGGAGCTGGAGGACAGCCGCTTCCTCGGGAAGGGTGAGCCCGCATTGCCCCGGGCCATGGCTGCTGCTGGTGGCAGGGAGCTGGCCGCCACCGAGAGCCTCGCTGGGGACTCCTTTGGGATGCTGTCCCTGGGAAAGGGGCTCCATTGCCCATGTCCCTCCTGATGCCGGTTCCAGGAACGTGCTGGGCTCGATTCGGCACCCAGGGGTCATCCCAATTCTTTCTGCTTAGTCAGCAGCGTCTCCATTTGGCCTGAACCAGGGGCAGCAAAAATGGGAAGTAGAAGGGGGGGGGCGGGTGCAGATGGGGACCAGGGAGAGAAATACCCACCCCCAGGCCTCTCTGGCAGCTTGCCGGCAGTCCAGGGTCATGTTGAATATGCATGAAAGGGAGCAGATTGCAGCTTGCCCTCCTCTCCAATACGGAGGTGAGGCCCACGGAGACCACTGGCCCCAGCTCTCTTTCAGGGGGATAATGGGGTGAGCTGAGCACGGAGCGTGCGTGCCTGTGTGTGGTCCTGCGGATGATAATGATTTCCACTCCTGCCCTGCCTCCGCAGCGCTGATGTGCTGCTGAGCCACTGCTGGCTCCCCGATGGCTGCTCCCCGGCAGCAGAGCCACCAAAGCTCTGACACCGAACCTCAGGTTTTGGTAAGACTGGCAGGAGGGACAAAGCTCCCCACTGGGGCAGGGAGGATGAGCAAGAGATGCTCATGGCCCCGTGCATGCCTAAACCAGTCGTAACCTAGCTCTGGGTCTAGACCTGCTGCTCCAGTGCTCATAACAGCTTCACCTGTGGCCTCTCCCCTGGCTACCAGAATGCTGTCCCTTTCCCCTGGGCAAGCGTTTCCCCACACCTTTGTGTCTCACCAGAGAGGAAATTAAAAGACCTTTGCTTAAGCATGTCCCTACTCCTGTCACCTTGCTGCCACATAGCAGAGAGGAGGTGGAGGAGACTCTTAGTTGGCAGGGTTTAGTAGATGCCTTGTTCCATACATCCTGATTCTCCCTGGAGCGGATGGATGCAGCTGCTGAGGACCCCTGGGGGTTTCTCCTCTCTCCTCGTGGTGCAGAGGTTTTCCCACAGGGTTGTGTCCCTGCTAGTGCTGCCCTGTGGGTGGTGGGATGGGAGGTGATGGCTGCAGCACCTGACTGTGTGCCCTCTGTGGGACATGCAGTTGGAGGGGGAGAGGGCTGGCAGGGCTGAAGGTGCTGTGCTGGCTTCTGTGGGTACGTGCACGGCCAGGTCTTGCCAGGCATTGAGGGGGTCCATCAGCAGCCCCTTTACTGGGTGAGAATTCAGGAGCTGGGCTCTGCCAAGGGGCTGGCAGGGCCTTGTGCCCACTGTGCTCTGCTCAGCACCAGGCAGGGGCTGGGGATCATCCTGTCAGGATTGTGTTGGGGTTTCACCAGCTGCAGCCTTTGCTCAACAAGCAGATGCAGGGTCTGGCAGCAGCCATAGCTTCATCTCCTGCCCAGGGGCAGCTGCCTGCAGTGGGGCCAGGAGTCCCAACAGGGCTCTGTAGGCTGCCTGCAGTGGGGGAATGCTCCTCACTGCCTGGTGCTCATGGCATGGCACCTCCTGTGCAGTGGTGGCTGCTACATCTCTGCCGTCTCTAATCTTGCAGCCACACTCCTCAAACAGTGTGTTCTCAATGCTCTGGGTACTCCAGGGACAGTATCCTTTGTCTTGCTGGCAGCCAAGACACCAAGCCACGGGCTGGCATGTCCCCAAAAACATGTCCTCTGCAGCATTGTGGTAAAGCTGGAACTGTGCTGCTGAGGTGATGCAGGGACCACCAAGGGAGCTGCCAATTTTTCACATCTCTTTTTTCCATCAGCAGAGGATTAAGCAATGAGGAAACAGCACGGAAGTGGCAGGGGCAGGTTTTTCCTTGGGGAGGATATCCCAGGATGGGCTGAGACCCCTGTGCCCATTGCTCCCTTGGTAGGCACAGGCAGTGGCTGCTGGGCTGAGCGTGGCTGGGCAGGGAGGAGCTTCCCCTCATTAGTGGTTTGGCAGCCTGGAGAGGCTGTTTTCTTCCACAGTCATGGCTCCTTTTTCTTTGCAAAATGGAATTACAAACCAAGAAAAGGTCCTGCATCATTGAAATGGGCTCTTCCTTGGAGCCTCCTTTGGCCAGAAGTGGCAGCTGGACAGGCAGGAGTGGCCCTGGGGCTGTAGGTGGAGGCTGGAGCTGGGGATACTGAGCTGGGTCATGCAGAACTTTGTTCCCCAGAGAGAACCACAAGTCATCCTGTAAAGATTTACTAGTGGGAGAGGGGATGGTCAAGGGACCCCCTCCTCCTGCCTGGTCATGGCATTGGGCTGGTTGGGGCTGGAGGACTTGGCTTTGGCACAGCACAGCCCATGGGATGGCAGGGCTGATGCCACCCCCCCATCCAGGAGGCTCAGGGGTCTGCCATGGCAAGAACAGGACATGGCCAATCTGCATTGTGTGGAAGGTCCTTCCTGCATTCAGAGCCAGCAGGAGGGAACGTGACCTCCAGAGCTCTTCTACTCTTCAAGCCAATAACTCAGGAGATGGGCCACATCCCCTGGGAGCCACTAAGCTCCCTGGCCCTGTGCTCAGCTGCTGAGAGAGGGGCCCAGCCAGGTCCTGCATTTGGTCCTGGGCATTCTCCCAGTCAACAAACAGACCCAGAGCTGGGCTTCTTGGGGGTGAGGCCAGAATTACTTCCTTTGCTGCTGGGTAGTATGGCAGAGGAATATGAAGAGGATCTGGCCCCTGGCTTGGAGAAGCCACTGTGCCCATAGCAAGCAAAGAAAGTAGTGGTGTGTTCAGGAGCTCCAGATCTTCATCCCAAGGAGCTCCTGCCTCTTGCACAATATGCCTTCAAAGTGTTTTTGTTGCTGTCTGTTTGTCCTGCTCTGTCAGGAGCTATTTTGTGCCACAGATGGATAACTTGGGATTTACAGCTCCTGTTGCATCTGAAAGATCTCCCCTACCACCAGCCCTTGTCAGCCATGCAGTAACAGAGTCTCTGAACTGTGTGACATCCAGGGCTGCTGGCAGACAGGAACATTCCTGTCACTACAGGACAGTTTCTAAGAGGCCAGGGAAGGGCTGTACCCCAATTTCAACCCCTTGCACCCAAAGCTCAGGCCCTTTTCCCATTTCCATGGTATTTCAGTCCTGCTGATGGACAGTGAGGGATTGGTGTGGATGAGGTAACGTGAAGTAATTGTCTTCCTGCCCCGCTCCCAGGATACTGCATCAGTGGATACAGGGTGGGAAGATGGGTACAGGTGACAGACCAGACATGGGGGAGTTTTCCATCCCTTACCAGCCCTCTCAATACGGGTGGTGCTGTGGCCATGACAGTGCTGATACCACACACTCTTCTTCTTCCTTCAGGGAGGAGCCACTTCCCTCTCCCCAGAAGGATGGAGGTCCTGCAGCTCCTGCGCCTGCTCCTCACCACTGCCATGCTGGGCCTGTCCCAGACAGTGAACCCCTTCGTGGCCCAGCAGACCCCCCCAGACCCCTGCTATGATGAGAGCGGCGCTCCTCGACGCTGCATCCCTGAGTTTGTCAACGCTGCCTTCGGGAAGGAGGTTCAAGCTTCCAGCACGTGCGGGCGGCCCCCGACACGGCACTGCAACGCCTCGGACCCGCGCCGAGCGCACCCGCCCTCCTACCTGACCGACCTCAACACCGCCTCCAACATGACCTGCTGGCGCTCGGAAACCCTCCACCACTCGCCCCAGAACGTCACCCTCACCCTCTCCCTCGGCAAGAAGTTTGAGGTGGTCTACGTCAGCCTCCAGTTCTGCTCGCCCCGGCCCGAGTCCACCGCCATCCTCAAGTCCATGGACTACGGCAAGACGTGGGTGCCCTACCAGTACTACTCGTCCCAGTGCCGTAAGATCTACGGCAAGCCCAGCAAAGCCACGGTGACCAAGCAGAACGAGCAGGAGGCCCTGTGCACCGACGGCCTCACCGACCTCTACCCGCTCACCGGGGGGCTCATTGCCTTCAGCACCCTCGACGGGCGACCCTCGGCCCAAGACTTCGACAGCAGCCCCGTGCTCCAGGACTGGGTGACGGCCACCGACATCCGCGTGGTCTTCAGCCGCCCGCACCTCTTCCGTGAGCTGGGCAGCAGCCGGGACGCGGGCGAGGAGGAGGGCGCCACGGGCTCCACGCCCTACTACTACGCGGTGGGGGAGCTGCAGGTCGGCGGCCGCTGCAAGTGCAACGGGCACGCGGCGCGCTGCGTCAAGGACAAGGAGCAGAAGCTGGTGTGCGACTGCAAGCACAACACAGAGGGGCCCGAGTGCGACCGCTGCAAGCCTTTCCACTATGACCGGCCCTGGCAGCGCGCTACTGCCCGTGAGGCCAACGAGTGTCTGGGTAAGGCGTTTTAAACATTTCTCTTTTCTGGGGCTGAAATGCTAAAACAGGTCATCAAGGTAGGAAGTGATAGGTGCTGAGCCAAAGCAATGGAGTGTGCTTGTCCAGAGATGCTGGGGAGCATCCCCTGTGCTGGAGGTTTGGCAAAGGCTCAGCCGTCTACCTTGTCTCTGCTGCACTTGTCCTGTAAGAGATGCAGTGATTCCACCATGAGCCAAAGCACCAAAACTCTCCCAAAAATCACTGGTGTCTTCCAGCCAGTCAGCAGACCTCAGTGTGGGATGCCCCTCTGGGATTTTTTCCCTTGGGCAGCAAACTAGCTGTCTGTGGGCTGGAGGAACAATCGCAGCAGTTCCCTGTGAGATGTGCTTGAGGACAGGGAGCGGGCAGAAAAGCCTGGCAGAGGTTGAGGCTCCCAGTTTGAAATTTCATCCTTCATGTTCAGTCTGTGTGGTGGTTCTAGCTTGTCTGTCCTTGCAAAGGTTTTTCTAAGTTAAAAATACTGTCACAAAATGAAACATTTCCAAAACATCAAACGGGTATTAGTTGGCTCTCCTGCTCATGAATCTTTATGGGATTTTGGTGGAGAATTTTGCTTTTTGTCCTGCTTTGGGATGGAGCTGGGGAATGCCAGAGCCCTGTGAATGTCTGGGAGAGGGAGGAACAGCCTTTTGCTCCTCCTGGACAGGAGCCCAGGTCTCAGGGGGTGGCGGGAAGATGGAGACAAGGGAGAGCTGTACCATTAATCAGCCTCTGAAAGGCTCAGTGGATGTGCCAGAGGTCAGAAGGACTTGTTAGTATTTGTGATCGATGTCTTGTTGAGAACCCAGCTGTCCGCTTCAATATACACATGTTACAGCAGATTTCTTCTAAGAATGGCTAAAAAGGCAGCGGATTCAAAGCAAGTGCTGGAGCTGATGCTTTAAGCCACCTCATGCCCTGTGGGAATGTGTCAGCCCTTGTGTTTTTCCACTTGTTTCAGAAAGATGAGTTTTGGAGGTCAGAAAAAGCCCTCCCCTTGTCACCCTGCCAGGGTTGCTGCAGGTCAGGCAGGGGAGGCCTTCAGCAGGTGTGTGAAACCCCCAGGACACAAGGAGGACCCAAGGCTGCTCCCTTGTGCCCCCCTCTCTGCAGCTGCCTCACTGCCACATCCTCCAGCAAAGCAGCGCGATAGCAGTGGAGGTGGCTCTGCTGGCACAAAAGGGGTTAAACCAGAAGAGGCTCATTTTTGAGTAGCATCTGCAGGTTTTCTGTCCATCTCGTCCAGGGCGGGGTGCGGGTCCCTTGCTCTGAGCATCCAGCCCCCAGCTGCGTCACCCTTTTGGCAGATGAAGCTGAAAAGATAAACGAGAGAGGGAAGGGGAGGCGGGGCCGCAGCGCCATCCCTTCACCCCCCCGACAGCCCCGCACACAAAGACCCTTCCCCGAGCCGCGTGTGAAAGTAGTTTTTTCCTGTTGATTCGCTCCCCTTCTTTCTCCCTTCCCTCTCTCGGGCTTTGTGCCCTCTCTGAAGGGACCTGAAAGAGCTTCTCCATCACCCGCCTTCGAAGGGCTTAGCGGCTGAAAGCTGGATTAGCTCCCCGAGCCTTCCCCTCTGTGCCTTTCAACAATGACATCTCCCCAGCCAGCACGAACAGACGCAGCAATTAGCACCAATTAAAAGGAGAGGCTGCCCGGGAAGTTCCCTTTGCTCAGCCTGGGGGCTGTGGGGTTTCGGACTCTGTCCTGTGGTCAGACAGCGCTGGTGCTGGCTCGTGGTGGTGGATGTCGGACGTGGCTGGGGAGGGAGGAGGAAGAGGAGGAGAGTGGGTGGATGCAGGGGCTTGGCAGCTCAGTGACAGCCCAGGGGCAGGGTGGGGGATCGCAGCGCCCTGAACGGGGATGCGAATGGATCCATGGGGCTGGTACAGCTTCAGGTCATGTTGGGGTGTGTCCGCTCTTGGCTCTGTGCTCCCCAGCACTCTGCATGGGGGTTTTTCTCAGCCCAGTGCATGGGAGTCTCTGCCTGCTCCAGCACGGGGCCAAGCTGATGTCCTACAGCATGGCACGATGCTGGGACATGTGTCCATTCAGCTGGAGGTGAGGACAATCATTTGTTGTTTCAGTAGAATTTGTGCCTCTGGGAAACGCGCAGGCGACGCAGGCAAGAACTGCCCGAGGTCTGGGCACGGGCACAGGGCACAGCCCCAGCACGGCGGCCGTGGGGTGGCTGTGGGTTCGTGGGGACAGCGCTGTGCTGCAGTGCTGAGGGGGTCAGCACGAGTTTGGCAAGCAGGGAGGTTGGGGGCTGTCGCAGCCAGGACAGTGGCAGTGGATTTGCCAAGCTGCTGGCTTGGCAAGAGGGCACCGTGCCAGCTTTGTGCCGCAGAGCGCACGGCCCCGTGCCTGCTGGTTGGAGATCATCGCCCGCAGGCACGGGAGGCTCTCCTGACACAGCCCAGGGGCTGCATGAACCGCAGGGAGCTTGCCCTGCCAGCATGGGATGCTCTGTGTGTCCCGGGCAGGGAAGAGAGACGTGTCCCCACCAATGCATCCCCCCAGCTTTTGGCCTGGGAGAGGCTGTGTGAAGGATAATCCCGGCAGAGGGGCTGGCAGGAGCAGGACTGCCGGAATCCCGGGGACCCCCCACCTTTATCCTTGCAGACTCACACCTCCACCGCTGCCGGTTTCAGCCGCACCCCCGAGCTGCTGGGGGCAGCCCGGCCCCAAACACCCGGCCCGGGGAAGGAGGGGAAGCGGATTAGCACGAGGCAGTCACTGGAAGTAATTGATGCACTCGCTGGTGATGCGGGAGCCCTTGTTCCCTTTGTGGCCGCCGCGGCAGGAGCACTCTCCGGAGCACCAGAATAATGCCCGGGGCTCGCTTTGATCGGGGCCTCGGCGGGGAAGGGGTGGCGCTCTCCTGGGAAAACCTCGCAGGCTGCTCGGGGGGGGGGATGTGGTGCTCCACCCGGGATGTCGGTGCCTGAAAACGCCAATCCCGGCAGCGGTGGTGGGATTTGGAGGATCACATGTAATTCCCTTGTGCCCTGTGTCCCTTCCTGTACATTTTCCCTCCCATTGGGAGTTCCCCTGACAGGGTTCTCTGCACCTGCTCCCCAGCGGACGTGCCGGAAACGAGTGAGTGCCCGGCAGCACCAGCCACGCTCCTTCCCTGGGGAGCGCAGGGGGACGGCGATTGGCTTTGGGGGGAGGGCAGCATGGCCCTGCCACCCCTGTCTGGACACCCCTGGAGCACAGGGGGAGAGCGATTGGCTTTGGGAGGTGGGCAGGAGGGCAGCATGGCCCTGCCACCCCTGTCTGGACACCCCCTCCCCTCCGAGTCACAGCGAATCTGGAGTGCAGGGAAGGCAGCCAGGCCTCAGAGGAGATTTACACTTGTCTGACCATCCTGACTCCTGCTCTGCCCGGGATGGGGCTGCAGTGCCTCGGCCTTGTCCCCGCAGCCCCTGGGGGCTTCTCCTGCTGCTGCTGCTGCTTCTTGGCAGGAGCGGAGTGAGCGCCTCTCCCCCAGCACCTTCCCCAGCACGGAGGGACGGTGTGGATGAGAGCAAAGGGGCTGTTCTGCTCTCGGCTGCCGTGGAACCGAGAGGTGCGGCCTCATCCTGCCCTGTGTCCCAGCCAGGCTCTCCTCCAGCCAAAGCAGGGGCGTAGCTCAAATCCGCTGCGGGTTGGCAGCAGCAGCAGCGGGTCTAGGGTTTCGCTGATCCGGCTGCCTTCCCTAATTATTCCCAGGGAACTTGTAGGGGCGGTGAGCCTTGCTCCTGCCCTGCGGGCTCCACCGCCTGCCCCACGTGTGCCTCGGTGCATGGTGCTGCCTGTCCCCTGCCAGGGTCTCTGTCCCAAAGCCCCTCGTGCTGTCATTCCAGGCTCCTACATCTGCAGCACCCTGGAGGAGGAGGAGAGGTTTTAGGGTGGCCAGGGCCTGGGAAGGGGTTCAAACATCATCAAAAGGGAGACAAAAGATTGCTCCATTGCAAGGTGTCAACGTTTAAATTGGTCTATTATTGCAAATTATTAGATCTTGTGATTGTTTAATTGATCATATGATTGTTTAATTGGGCATACTGTACAAGGGCGGAAGCGAGCTACCAGGTAATTAGCCCCAAACTGTGCAATTAAATTCTTATTAATACCCCAAACAGCAGGGAACATTCAAGCCTTTAATTAGTGATTAACGGGAGACAGACAGAGCTTACAAGTGCCTCAGTACTGAGGAACAGTGAGAGTATTTAGCTGGGTAAGGGGGGACCTGTCTGCCCCGATTAGCTCTGGATGGCTGCGCCAGGGCGTGAGGGGATTGCCATGCGTGCTGGTGTGACCCTGTTCCCAGTGGGGACAGCCACCCAAGCCGGGGTGGCCAGGCCCAGCCAGGTTCCCCTGTTGGCTCTGGAATCCCGGCTTGGCAGCTCCTGACACCATGCCTGCAGGAGAGGGAACAATGCTGGGCCACCAGGGCAGGCTTCTTCCCCAAACCAGCTCCTGGCATGACCGGAGGGTCTGCAGCACGTCCTGAGGGAAATGTCCTGGGGCAGATCAGGATGTGCCAGGGTCAATGATGCCAGGAGAAGGCCCCGCCAGTTACTCTGTCACCAATTAAACTGGCGGCAGAGAGGGGCCTGCACTGAGGGCAGCAAATCATTTACCCAAGAGTTCTCCTCCACTGCCCATCGCCTCCCCTCTGGGCTGCCAGCCTTTCTCCTTCCCCAGAGGGCATTCCAAGAGGGACACAGAACTGCCTTTTGGGATGACCCCACTTGCCTTTCAGTGCTGCAAGGGGAAAACAAGGGCCCTCTCCTCCCAAAAACTGCTCTTTGCCACAGTTCTGTAGCAAAACCCACCTTGTCTTGTCCCTGTCCCATTATCTGGAGCCTGCAAGGGCACCCTGGCTGTCAGGGTACTTCACTGTGTCTCTTCCAGTCCTGGCAAAGCCTGTTTGAATGTCAACATCCCCAGTTCAACAGCATCCTCTGCTACCTGGGGCCTCCCCCCACACACCACAACCCAGAATTTGCCTTAAAAATCCCTATTTTCCAGTGTCACCAGGGAAAAAGAAAATAGCTCAAAAGGAACAAGCACTACAGCCACACAGGGTGTTATTTTGATGCCTGCCATGTGATTTCTCTCTAATCTCATAACTCAGGGGAGCTCTGGGGGCAGCTGAGGTTTGAGTGTGCTGGCACTAACTTTCTGCTCAACTCATGCCTCCAAAAACCTCGTTGTTACGGCTGGGGCTTGCTCTTTCTCCCTGCAGCGTGCCCGTGGCCGGGGCAGGCCAGGCCGTGTTTGATCTGTGCGGGTGAAGCTCCGCCGGCTGTGGGGAGGCAACTTCACACAGCCAGGCCAGGCAGTTAAATCTGGGCCGACACATTAATGAATTTCACAGTGCGCCTGGAAAAGCTCTCACCCAACCTCCATTTACCAGCGCGGGGAGGGGGCCGGGGCTGGGGGAGCAGGGCGCCACGTTTTGCCAGAGGAAATCTTGTTCCCATTATCTTTTTGCAAGAGTGTTAAGTTGGAATAGGCAGTGCTTTGCCTTTTTATCTCACACACATGGAGCCGGCCGGGAGGGCTGTGTGCTTCCCGGGGCTAATTTCTGCATGCACATGGAAGGGTGTGCAGATGTTTCTGTGCACATCTGGGTGTGCCTGCCTGTGGGCACGTGTACATCTTTGGGGGGGTTTTGGTGCATGTCTGCATGCACGTGTGTTTGTGGGTGTGTTTGTGTGCACGTGTGCTCGTGCATGTTTGTGCATGCACACACGGGGATGTGAGCGCACAGGGGCTGCTGTGTGGGTTTCTCTGTGTGTGTGGCTCGTGCACACAAGATAGAGCCATAAACATAAAGAGTTGGGGGCTCGGTTGCAGGGGAGGCTGTCACACAGCCTGGCATGAGGTGGGTGGTCCTGCTGGAAGGCCGGGTGGGCTCTGTCACCAGAGTAGCTGCCAGGGAAGGGGCAGAGGGGACCATGGGGCTGCAAGTGCTCAGATGGCACCACCAAACCTCCTAGCTGCAGCCCTCCATCCCACACTTGTTTGCCTTCAGCCGAGTGGTGCCAGTTCCTCCTACACGTGTCCTTCGTCCTCTGCCCTGACCCCACGGCACCGGCCCCACAGGGTGGTGGTGCTGCACATCTGGACAGCACGCTGGGACAAGCTGTGCTGTGCTGTGTCCATCCCCGTCCCAGCACAGCCCCCCTGCACTGGGGGACACCAGGGCAGCTCCAGCCCCGCCAGAGGTCCCGAATCTCACCTTCAGCCCTCACCATCTCCCCTTCCCTCACAGCCTGCAACTGCAACCTGCACGCGCGGCGCTGCCGCTTCAACATGGAGCTGTTCAAGCTGTCGGGGCGCAAGAGCGGCGGCGTGTGCCTCAACTGCCGGCACAACACGGCGGGCAGGCACTGCCACTACTGCAAGGAGGGCTTCTACCGCGACCTCAGCAAGGCCATCACTGACCGCAAGGCCTGCAAGGGTAAGCTGGGGGCTCCTGGGGGCACAGGAGGGACAGGATCTCTCTCGGTCTCCTTGCTCTCCCTCCCCATCCTTGGGATCTCCTTCTGCTCACTTTGGCAGCTGCAGGTCAGCTCCAACCACCACCACCCCGATCTCCTCTACACCCCAAGGGCACCGGGCACGGATGGCACTTTGAGCTCAGCATCAACTCGAGGTGCAGGAGGATCACTGGAAGGGAGGGAGCAGGTTGCCAGGAGCCTGGGAGGGTTCTGGTGTGTTTGCAGTTACTATCTCTATTGGTCAGTGTTTGGAGAGATGCTGGGGAGGTGCTGAAGCAGACATGACCAAATGTGCTGGAAACCTGTCTCTGATATGGATGTTGTCTGGGATATAGACATTCTTGGAGCATGGGTTCCCTGCTCTGGAGGGCTGGGGATGCTGGTGAAACTCAGATCTCCCAGGTGGGCCATGGGGCCGGACCTCATGTTGTGATTTTCAGCTGTGGGATGGCTCTTGGGATCTGTTTTTGGGGAGATGCTGAGCACTGTGGCTCCTGGTAACTGGCCTTGAGCTGGCCAGGAGCCACACTGGCTCCAAGCCATCAAACTGCAGCTTGACCTCTCAAGGTCCCTAGCCTGTGCCAAACATCATGGGACCTGTACCTCTCCTCTCCCTCCTCTTAACTCCTGGCCGAGCCTGCCTGGTTCCTCTTCCCTCTCCCTGCTCAGCCTGTCTATGGAGCCTTTTCAAAACAATAGTTTCACCAAATAATTTGAGATAAGAAATCACCCTGCCTGTCCCTAAGACTGTTGAGATCCAGACTGGAACATCAGATGGGCAGGAAGTCAGCCATGGCTGTTCAGAGGCTGAGAATTCATCCCTGATCCCTGTTTTTCTGTCTTTGCTTGTGAGTCCCTCCTGGAAGGGAGCACAGGGCCCCTCTCAGGTCTCTCTCCAATGCATTCTGCCCCACGTGGGCACCAGGCCCCTTCCCTTCTGCAATGACTCAATGCTCCTGTGTTCATGTAGGGCCTCAGGAATTCCTGGTGCTGGGTTTGGACCACTGACATTGTGGGCATGGACCCAAATTGAAGGGTTTGACTTTTGGGGCTCCCCTGTCAGGTGCATTAGTGGTGTTGGAGGTCTGTCTCATTCAGGCTGGGATATAATAAAGGAAAGCCCTCCATTGCCTGGTGTGTGCCAGTGCCTCCTCTCATCCTTGCCACTGCCAGGAGTGCCTGAGAGGATGGAGTGAAGGGAGGAACTTCACTCCGTGCAGTGTCACAGCGGGAGCGGGGCTGAGGGGGCACTGCCAGGAGGAGCCCTACCTGCAAGCAGCTCATTAGCAAACTGAGCTAATCATTTCCAACTACCAAGCAGCTGACTTGACACGTCCCCCTCACAGCCCGTGTTCCCAGGGTCCACAAGCTGTTCCACCCCATGGCCTTGGCCAAGCCTTGCCACAGCTGTGGCTGGGGGCATGGCAGCCCCTGGCACCACACCACTGATGCAAATTGTGCCAGGTGTCAGCCAGGTCCCAAGCTGTGCCAGGAACCAGCATCCTCAGCGTGACGCAGGGGAGACACTGGGAGAGAGGAAGAGGAGGAGGCAGGACAAGGCATGCATCCTAGTGGTCTATGGCACAGCATCCCAGATTGTGTCCCATTCCTGGGAGGTGTCCTGGCTCTGCTGAGGCCAGGGATGGATGGCAGCAGCCCCCAGCTCCTGCTGCAGCACCACCAAACTGGGGCAGCTGCAGCAAAATTCTCTTTTCCACGAGGATTGTGTCAGGTGCTGAGGGCTGGCAGGCAGCCCCAGCTCTCCCCCAACACTCGAGAGGCACCGGGGGGGCTGTGCTGCCTCCACCTCACCCTTCATCTCCTGAGGCAGCCCCTCACCTCCCAGCCCTCCCCGAGGAACAGTTCCTGCTTTTCCTTGGGTTAGGGAGGTTTAGGTTGGATCTCAGGAAAGGTTCTTCCCCCAGAGGGTGCTGGCACTGCCCAGGCTCCCCAGGGAATGGGCACGGCCCCGGGGCTGCCAGAGCTCCAGGAGAGCTTGGACAGCGCTGCCAGAGATGGACAGGATGGGATTGTTGGGGGGTCTGGGCAGGGCCAGGAGCTGAATTCAATGATCGTATTTGGTCCCTTCTAGCTTGGGATATTCTGTAATTCTCTGACCAGCTCCTTCTATTTTTGCTCCAAAACTGATACAATACCAAGCACAGTGGACGCCCTGCAGGCATTCACCTCTCCAGGGCCCCCAGCACCACTTCCCTGGGCATTGAGGGGCTCAGTTTCTGCTCCAGATGGGAAAGGGAGCACTTAACCAACGAGCAATAATAGAAAAAATGCCAAAACCTATAAAAGCAGGCTGGATATGGCTGGGACGAGGGAGGATTAGTGACTATAGCCTGGTTTGTGGGAGCAGCTGCAGGTTGCAGTGTTTCCCACCTGGCTATGGCTCAAGTCCTTCTCCTTGCAGGGAATGGGGGAGGCAGAGGGGGCCTGGCTGCTCCCACCTGCATGTGCCCACCATTTGTCAGTGCAAGTCTTCCTCCACCACCCTCACAGGGCAGTAATTGTGCAGCATTACAGTGATGGAAAGTATCTCTGATGCGAGGTGGCTGCTCTGGAGGGGACAGGGTGGGCAAAGCATCCCAGGATGCCCAGGATTTGATGGGATGGTGTGAGTGCAGATGCTGCAGCACAGGAGAAATGGCAGCCAGCAGTGCCTGGGCTGCAGAGGAGCAGAGCAGTGGGACAGGAGCCCCCTCAGACAAACCCCCGTCCCTGTGCCAAGCACGGGCAGGGCTCTGCCAGGCTGGGGGATGCTGCTCACGGAGGGCTGGCAGGGTTTGCTGTGCATGGGAAGTGCTGCAAAGCTCAGCTGAGCCAGATGAACACAGGGCCAACCCCTGCCATGGTGCATATGCTGAGGAGGATCTGGCAGCAAAGGTGGTACCCTGGGTCTGGGGAGCCTGTTCCTGGCTCTCCCTTGGAGAACAGAGTTAATAATAAAATCTCTGATGCTTCTGCTTCTTTGGCTGCCCCTCCTTCAGTAAATCAGAAAGCATTTCCACCCCTCCCTTATATAGAGGTGGATCTGCTGGGGTTGGGAGCTCCTTAGAGGACCAGCAAGGTCCCAGGTGCTGGCAATGGAGAGCTGCTGCTCCCAGAGAGGCATACAAATACTCAGAGGTGTGACAAGACAATTTGGGCTTGTTTTTTCCAAAGCTGTGTCCCATACCTGCAGTTCAGGTATCTACACTCCTGCAGGAAAAGGCAAGGCAAGGATCCATCCTCTCAGTGGGTGTTCAGAGCAGGCAGGGAGCAGGGGGATGGGAACAGTGTGCTGTGGGTTTAAACAAAGGTTTGTGCACCTACCACAGCGCTAGCCCAGGGCAGAGGCTGAGCATTGCAATGAAGGCAGATGCTCGTAGAATCACAGACTGGTTTGGGTTGGAAGGGACCTTGAAGATCATCTGGTTCCAATCCTCTGCCATGGGCAGGGACACCTTCCACTAGACCAGGCTGCAGATGGCTCAGTTAATATTCAGGAGGCAAATCAGGAGGCCAGGAACTACTACATCTTATTTAAACAAACCCCAGCATGTGTTACTAAATAACCCTTCAGCCATGGTTTGCCTCTGCTGGGATGCAGCATCCTGGAAATAGGCACAGAAATACCAGGGCAGGTTGTGTCCAACTGAGCAGAGCCCTTGGCCAGTGAGTGAGGAGTGCTTCCCTCCACTGCCAGCATCACTGCTGGACCCTGTGGGACAGAAAAGCTGGGAGGATGGAAAAGGCAGAGCAACCTTCAGGATTAATTCAATGGTGCTAATTGAAAAGTCAAATAAAGGATGGCTGCGCATTAATCCCAGTAATTTAAACAAAGATGTAAACCGTGAGCCTTTCTCCAATGAAAACTGGTGAAGCAGTAGCAGCTAAGCCTCAAGATGCAAAAATACCCTCAAAATGAGGTGCAAGACATGCTTTCTGGCAAGCACAGCTTGATGAGTTAAGCTCCAAGCTAGTGACTTAATCCACCATTCAAGCTCTGTGGGCCAGATCCTGGCAGCCAGAGGCTGGGAGCTGCAGGGCCTGGTGTGTGGGCAGCAGTGCAGAGCTGCACGTGCCCCCAGCCCTGCCTTCCCTGGGGCTGGGACAGGCTCCCTGAGCCAGCCCCTCCACAGGTTTTGTTGGGGTGAGGAAGGACAGAGATGCCAAAGCTGCAGATGGACCGTGCTGCAATGCGGGACCCATCAGGGACAGCGCTCCTGCCTGGGACGCTCATCCCGTGGCAGCGGGAGGGAACAGTGTATTTTTGTGGGACTGTGGGAAATCCCACTGTGGTAGGGCAAGTGGGCAGAGGTTGGTCTGGAAGAGACCAAGCTCACACCCCGATGACACTGATTGGTTGTGCACTTAAGGTGAGCAAAGCTGCCTTACTGATCTGGGTAAAACATCCGGCGTCGCTGAAATCCACCTTCCACCGCATGCAGAGACATCAGCTTAGATGAACTGGATCCTGACTGGGCTGAGATTTATGTCTGTCCATAAAATTTACACCAGAAACAGACCACTGGGGCCCAAGAAAGGCCCTGTGTTTCCAACAGCCCTGTGTCATGCCAAGACTCCCTTGCTCGCTGCCATTTGTTATCACAGCTGAGCCCCCAAAATATCCCTGTCAGAAAGATGTCCGCTTCTCGTCCTAGCCAAGATCTGATAAGGATGGAGCATCTGGTCCCCATTAGAGGCTGCTCGCTCTGGTTTCTGGCTGTGCAGAGGAGGGCTCAAGTGCCATGGTGCTCCCACCAGTCCCATCTGGTGAAAATTAGGGAAACGGTAACATCAGGGGGCTGTGGGGGTGGCTGGGGGAGATGTTTTTGTTTTGCTTTGAAATCACGTTCAACTCTTACACTGATGGAGGCCAAGATAACCTCTCCAGCTCATTGCCAGCCCAGCTCCAGGCAAGCAGATGGGAAGGTCCTCCTCTGAGCGAGCATCTCCTTCCCACATCCCTCCATGCAGACAACCTGCAGTGGGTCCATCATCCAGTGTGACATGATGGAGCATTCTTCTGAGAGCAAAGACAACTTTCACCTGCCTCAGGTGTGGCTTGTCCTAGAGAGACTGTGGTAGAAAGGTGTGGGGTCATCCTTTGCCCAGGGTCTCCAGGAAACAGGAGGGGCATCGAGGCTTATGAGCTTGGGAAACATTGAGAAAACCTCCTTCATTCTAAAACCAAAACAAGGTTTGTGGCTTGTGTAAAAACCCAGTGTTGGTTCAGCTCCATGGACTGAAAAGCTCAGAGGAAGGGGAGCAAGTGGAGAAAATGGTTTTTACTGCTGCCATAGGAACATCTCCCTGGAGTTAAATGAGATCATAAATGAGAGCCGGTGGCTGCAGGCCCCTGTGGGAATTGCAGAGGCTCCAGGTGTTCCTCCTGAGCATCCCTGTCAGCAAGGCCATACCCTGGCCAACCCCTTTGTCCGCTCGCCCTCCTGCCTGTGCTGCTCACAGCACATGTGGGGCCACACTTGGTCCAGACCCACGGGTGCAGCTGGGTCTGTGCTGTGCCAGCCCCAGCAGTGGTGCTCTGGAAGGGTCTCCCTCCTCTTCACCGCTCTGGGACTGCACCTTGGCTCCAGTTTGGGGTTTGTGTTGTGCCTCCCCTCTCACATACCCATTTCTCTCTCTCCACCCAGCCTGTGACTGCCACCCCGTCGGTGCAGCTGGCAAGACCTGCAACCAGACCACGGGGCAGTGCCCCTGCAAGGACGGCGTCACCGGGCTCACGTGCAACCGCTGCGCCAAGGGCTACCAGCAGAGCCGCTCGCCCGTGGCCCCCTGCATCAGTGAGTGCCCCCCTGGCCTGCACTCAGGGACCTCATGGGCCCCAGGGGACGCTCCTTGGTCCCCCACTCCCCGTGGATGGTCTGTGGTGGGTGGGAGGCTCAGCAAGAGGCTGGCTGTCCTTATGGGTGTTCTCCAGGGGGTGCTCATGTGGGACTCTCTGATGACTCTCTGGGGTGACCTGGGCTTCACCTGCCCCAGCGCAGGAGGCTCTGGGTGACCCCTTGGGTCAGTGCTTCCAGGTGGTGAAACAGCTCTGCTGGGTCTCTGCTGGGTACAGCACATGCTCTCCCCACCCAGCTGAGCCCTGAGTGTGGTCACTTCTGGGGCAAGGCCAGAGCCTGTGGTCAGCATAAAACTGTGTTTATTGTCACAGTGGGTTTGAATTTGACCCAAGTGGCAGAAGAACAATGTCCAACCCTGCAGCTTTTGCTGGGCTGCTGGAGCAGTGGCAGTGCAGGTGACTGGTGGAGCTGGCTCCTCTCTCTCTGCTCTTCCCCAGATTTGAGTTTAGGAAAGAAATTCCCCCAGGTTTTGCTGCCAAGAGTCCTGAGAAAGTGTTATCTTTTCCCACATTTATCCCTGCCCTGGGCAGCCTGAGGCATGCTGAGGTCAGCCAAGCACCTGTGTGATCTCCAAACTCAGTTCAGGTGAGCTGAGCACTCGGGAAGCTCCATCCCTGGAGCACACATCCCCACACAACCCCTTAGGGCCCTTGGGGAATGCAGAATTGCAGCCTGGCCTGATTTACTGAGCTCAGTTAGTGCACCTCCAGGTCTATTCAATAGTCTGCAATGGTCAGGTCAGATTCATGCCATCATCTCTCATTTGTGACCAGCAAAATCTCCTTGTGCCCATTTTCAGAGGGCTTTTAAGCCCAGCTGTCACCCCCAGAGCTGGGGATCTCATCCTTAAGATACCTCTCCCTTTCTTTTCCAGAGATTCCTGCCATCAACCCCACCTCCCTGGTCACCAGCACAGAGGCACCTGCAGGTGAGTGCTCCACATCCCTGGCCGAGCCCATGGCCTCAGTGCCACCCAGAGACCTGGGGGCAGATCCCACCATCCCTGTCCCTGGCACAGCACGGGGCAGGGCTCAGCTCTACCAAACCATTTGGCAAAAAAATTATTGAGAAAAACTTTTGGTGAAAGATGTGACTGAGATTTAAAATCTTGTGCATTTCTGGAAAGGAACTGACTAAGACTGATGGACTTTTTCAGGAAAGGCTTTCTCCATTGCCTCCAAGGAGGAGAGCAGGGATTAAGGCAGGTTAAGGCAGGGATTGTGGCACATGGCACCAGTGGGTGCCTGGGGCTGGCTTTGCTTCACCTCCTTTTATCAGCACCAGTGCAGGACGTTTCTCCTGAGTGTCCCTGGCCCCTCCAAGACCCCAGCTCACTGGGAGGTGCTGGGGCACGGAGGGTCTGGTTGGTCTCAGGCAGGCTCCAGGGCCCCTGTGCTGGGGCACAGGCTGCCAGGTCTGCCCTGGACGTGGGTGACGTGGTGTTCACATCATCCAGGTCTGGAGGAGAGAGGGATCTGGGTATGAGCTGCTTGTCCTGGCTGTGCAGGGTGATGGGATTTGGGTAGTTGGACCATGGAGGGACCAGTGTCACTGCTGTGGTCACCCAGAGGAGGTGACAGCTGCATTGACAGACTGCAGGCCTTGCACAGGCTAGGGAGGCATTGCTGCCATGGTCCTCAGAGCTCCTCAAGAGCTGCCCTGGTTCCCCACACTGGAGAGGGAGGGTTGGCATCTCAGTACAAGCTGCAGGTTCACTTCTGCTCCTGCAGAGGCTTGACTGGGGCTGGGCAATGGGTGGGTGCATGGATCTCCCTGTGCTGATGGATTAGGGTCCTTCTTCCAGCCTGGCCAGGGACCAAGGTCCCACCCGAGTGCTCTGAGCTCCCTCCGTGTCATGGCACTTCCCAGTGGCACCAAGCAGGGCTGTGCCACCCCTGGATCCAGTGCCACCATGCTGAGCCCTCCAGAGCTGCAGGATGCACCCAGCAGGGTAACGAGGGCTGTAGCAGGGCTTTCCTCCTTCCCCTCCTCTTCCTTCTGCAGTTCCCTCAGGGCTGCAGTGTGCCTGTTCCCAGCCACCCCTGTAGGGATTTCAAGCCAGGTGGAGGGGAAAGGCTGGGAAAGAAGCAGCCCCTTCCCTCCTTGGGCCACCCCTCTTCCTGCTGCCCCCAAGAGCCTGCTCTGCCCCTGCGTTCCAGTGTGTTGGAATAGACATCCCAAACAATCCTCCTCTCCATCCCATGGCACGTGCTCCTGTGAAGACAGCAGGGCCCCTCCAGTTCCCCACACCCATATTTAGTGAGCAACTTCCCTGTGCCCCGTTTGGGGTACATCTATCCCAAGGAAGCCTACTCCTTTCTAGGAGAGCCAGTGTTCTGTTTGCATCCATGTCCCCAGCTCTCCTTACCAAGACCACCTTGCCTTGGCAGTGGGAAATGCCAACAGCCTCTTCCAGGCTGCTGTGTGCCTGGGATGTGCTCTCCAGCCCTCTGGGGACATTTTCCAGGATGGCCTCGTGCTGAACTCACTGGCTGCAGGAGAGAGCCAGGGACGAGCTGTGCTGAAGAGATGGAACTTTTGGCCCCTCACAACCAGGCACACACTGAGGGGCTGGAGCAGGTCTAGAGAAGGGAAAGGAGCTTGGGAAGAGTCTGGAGCACAAGTCTGATGAGGAATAGCTGAAGGAGATGAAGTGGCACAGGTTGGAGGAAAGGAGGCTCAGAGGGGACCTCTTGTCTCTCTACAGCTCCCCGAGAGGAGGGGGCAGCCAGGGGAGGTCAGGCTCTGATCCCAGGGAACAACTCATAGAACGAGACAAAACAGCCTCAGGCTCTGCCAGGGGGGATTCAGGTTGCACATCAGGGAAAATTTCTTCCCTGCAAGGGTTGCCACGCAGTGAACCATGCTGCCCAGGGCAGTGGTGGAGTCACAATCCCTGAGAGTGTTCAAAAAGCGAGTAGATTGTCCCTTTGCAATGTGGTTTAGTGGGCATGGTGGAATTTGGTTCAAGGTCGGACTCGATGGTCTTGGAGGCCTTGGAGGCCTTTTCCAACCTTAATGATTCTGGGTTCCTCTGGCAGGAGTAAAGTGTGTGGGTGGGATGGAGAGGGGAGATGCACAAGGAGGAGCCTGCAGCACCGTGCAGAGCAGTTCTGGCTTAGCACACGTGGACCCCAAGGGGTAGCACAGAGCCTGGCACCCCACCCAGCACCTGTGGGCACTGCTGGGCCCTCACAGCCCGGCCCCTCAAGGCTCTGGAAAGGAGAGGGTGTTCTCAGGGTGTTTCCAGGGCAGTGAGGAGCAGCCCTGCCTGGATCCTCACAGATCTCACTCCTCACTGAGGCAGAGGGGGAGCAGTGAGACCTGGAGAGCACATCCTGCCCCATGGGAAGGTGCTGAGCTGCAGTGATGGTGCCACTGCTGGGGGAAGCTGCATGGGACAGGGCAAAGCAGCACCACCTCTGCTGCTGCCTGCCCTGCCCACCCTGCAGGGAGAGAGCTGAGAACATCAGGCTTTGGGAAAAGGAAAAACAGGGGGATGGAACGAGAGATTGGACCGGTTTATTGCCAACAGAGAGTGCAGCGTGGAGCAGAGTTAATCAAGGTGACTCCCCTCCAGTGCTTTATAAATAGGAACAGTCTCACAATGCTGTCTGAGCTGTTCAGCTGCACAATAACAGCACTGGCAGAGAACTGGGTTGTTTGCTCTGTTTTAGCAGAGCGGGTCTGCCTCAAACTGCCTTCAGTTTATCTGTGGCTTTGTTGGTTTAAGATTTCTGGCTTCTAGCTCAAATATCCTTAATGCAATGTAGCTGCCTCTGCCCTGGAGGATCAGGGAGGGTCCTGCTGCTCCCTTGGCTGGGGGATCAGGGATGGGGGTGATGCTGCCCTGGCTGTGCTGCCAGGGTTGCCTGCCCCTCGTGTGCTTGTCCTGCAGGCAGAGCTGCCAGTTCTGCCCCCTGTGCCCCCCTGCCTGAGGCGCCCCAGCTGTCCCTGAGCCCGCATCCCCACGGGGCCTCAGCACCTCGGGCAGCCTCCCAGCCCCTTCTCCCCCGTGTCCCCCTCCCGCCCTGCCTCTGGAGCAGGTGCTGCTGCAGGAACAGGGGGACATTGTTCAGGGCTGCCATGCTCAGGTGCTGGGCTTCCCGCCCTCTCCCCATCCTCCTCCATGCCGGGGTTCAGTCCCTGGCTGTGTCCTGGCTTTTCACTGACATTGCCATCCTCTGCCTCACTTTTCCCAGCTTTCTCCTGCCTTCCCAATCTTCCAAAGCCTTTGAGGTCCAGCTTTGATGTCTGTGCCTGAGCAACTGACTGGCTTGGTGATGAAACATCCTGGGTCCACTTCTCATCATTTTTATTATTATTATCTTAAAATATTTTCCACTTCATGGAAAAAAAATGAAAATCCACGTTCCCCATTAGCAGAATTAACAAAACTCATGGAGGGCAAAACAAGGCTTTAAGGGAATTCAAAGTAAGCAGTAAAAGATTTGCAGCCATAACACCTGATTAAGTTACATCTCTCTTAAAACAAAATATTCCTTTTTTTCAAGAAGAGGAGAAGTAAACCAGATGTGCAAACCTGCCACCTCTCCCACGTGCACTGCCCACAGGGATGGGGAATGCCCACACCAGGCCGGTGGCTCTGCTTCTCAGCTGCCTCCTCCCACCCTGCACCTGTAGCACCTCCCAGGGATGCAGCAGTGTCAGGGATGGGGCTGTGGTGAATCCCAGTGATGTCTCAGTCTCAGAGACTGCTCTGTACCTGTCCCAGACATGCAGCAGTGCCAGGGATGGGGCTGTACCATATCCTGGAGATGCAGAAGCATGTCAGGGTGTTCACTTTCATGCCATGGGCTGTGCCAGGTCTGTGCTGACCCCCAGCCCTTCCGTGGGGCTTGGCTGCCCAGTCCAGCTGCACAGACACAGGAGGAAGGCAGCCAGAGCAGCTCCTCTCCCCACTGCCCTGTGGAGGGTGTGGGGCTCTCAGGGCCTGTGTGGAGCAGCCCCATGGGGCACACAGCATCCCAGGCAGGAGGGAACCCTGCTCCATCCCTGCAGTGTGATTGGGGCTGGGCGGCTCCTGAGCAGAGCCCTCCTGGCAAAACCCTGCAGGAACAGGACAGGAGGCTCAGGGAGAGGCAGTCTGGGGAGGTACAGGCAGAATCCTTCTGCCCTGATGTGCCCTGCCACTTTCCAGCCACAGCACCCCTGTCTGCCCACAGCCAGTGATGGAGGAGGCCATGTGCTCAGGGCCAAGGGAAGGAAAGGTTTCCAGTTATTTGGACATATTTTTCTTCCCAAGTTTCTTAGATAAGGGGAGCAGGAATTAATTCTACATTTGAGGACTGTTCCTCCACAGCACAAAGCCGTGGTTTTAAAAATCCCTAAACTAATCCTAAATTGTTAATTCCCAACACCATTTTCTAGCTCCTCTGAATCATAGTTGTTAATCATGAGCAGGAGCCCAGAGCAGTTGCAGGATTTCTTTCCGCTTTTCCTTCATCCCCATTGCCAAGGGAAGGGGTGGCAGGTTGGCTGAGGCTGCCCCACAGCCTCCTCCCACCCCACATCACCCCCCAGCCCCCCAGGCCAGCCCCCATCACCCAGCCCAGCCATGCCCCCCCGGTGCCCCTGGGCAGGCTGTGCCAGCTGTGCCAGGGGCAGGGGCAGGGGCAGGGTGGGTTCTGTGCCCGTGGCTGGGGAGGGAAGGGCTCCTGTCCTGACGGGCGTGGGAGGCTGTGCCCCGAGTCCCTGCATGGAGCAGGACAGGGCAGAGCGGTGTGTGGGGCTGGGGCTGCTCAGGGGTGCTGTGGGATGGGGATGGGGCTGTGGGGTGTCCCAGGGAGCACAGCAGGCCGAGGCTGTGGCACACCCCAGGATTGCAGCAGGGTCCAGGCCGAGGCTGTGGCACACCCCAGGATTGCAGCAGGGTCCAGGCCGAGGCTGTGGCACACCCCAGGATTGCAGCAGGGTCCAGGCCGAGGCTGTGGCACACCCCAGGATTGCAGCAGGGTCCAGGCCGAGGCTGTGGCACACCCCAGGATTGCAGCAGGGTCCAGGCCGAGGCTGTGGCACACCCCAGGATTGCAGTGGGTGAGTGCATTGACCAAGCACCGCAGCACACTGAGCAGCCTCCCCCATATGGGGGCTCTGAGCACCCTCTGCAGCCACCTCGGCTGCTTCGGGGCAGGCAGCAGGGCCAAGGCAGCTCTGCCAGCCCAGGCAGGGAGAGGGGCAGCACCAGGGAGCTGAACTGAGAATCAGAGCTCATCCTCCTCTGCCAAGAACTGGCTTCATGCTGCACTGTTTCTATCACTGACAAATTTGGAACAGGTGGCATGAAGTCCCAGATAAAAAGGAGCTGGACAGAGAGGAGAACAGCAGAGCCCAGGGTGAGTTTGTGCTCCTGGGCTTCTTTCTTTCCTCTTTTCTCCTCCTCCCCTTGGCACAGGGTTCTGTTATTCCCCGTCTTCCCCCAGAGCTTTGCCTCCCTCCCCAGTGATCACTGTGGCAACCTGCAAACAAAGCCAACATTAGAGGCTGCTGACTCTGTCCTGGGACGTGGGGCCAAACCAGAGGGAGAACCTGCAAAAGGCAGAGAAAAGAAGAAAGATGGACTCAGAAAAAAACATGCCATTTGGAAAGAGACAAATTGAGATGTTCAAAGGAAGATGGCAGGGTAAAGAAAGAAGGAGAGCAGGGCTGCTTCAGGCAATTGTGGGGATCAAAGGCTTTGGGGAGAAGGAAAGAGGCATTCCCTGCCCTCCCTCTGCTTGAGATGCAAATCTAGGAGCTTTAGAAATGCACAGAAAAAAGCTTCCTGGAGGACAGGAGCCTTGGGGGACAGCAGGGTAGTGGAGGACAGCCTGGTGGCCTCCCCAGCCCCTCTGGAGCAGCCTGAGCAGGGGATGCCTGGGCCCAGGAGTGATGTGGTAGAGCTTCCCTCACCTGCCTCCTTCCCACAGCCCGAGTCCCCTTCCTCACCTGTGGGAGCCTATGGGGCACAGGTCCCTGGAGGGGCTGTCCCCTGAGGGTGCTTCCCCCCTCTGGCCCTGAGAGCTGAATCACTCTGAGGATCATGACCCCCTTGCTCTGGTGTCACACCTGCCTTTGGACGTGTCCCCTGTGTGGCTGGCTGTGGGACTGCTGCCAAATCCTCTGCTCCCACACCCCCCAGCACTGCAGGGTCACAGCTGTTCTGTTGGCTCTCCTTGGCATGGCCCCTGCCAGCCCTCCATGGAGGCCACTCTCACCTCACCTGCATTCCTCCCATCCATCCCTCTCTGTGTCTGGAAGGAGTCTCCAGGCTTCCTCCACTACCCTGTGCTGACTTATCCTGCAGACACCATTGCCACAAGTGACAGAGTCTGCTCAGTGCACGCAGGGTCCCTTGGTTCCTCCTCCCAGCTGATGTGGTATCAGCCATTCGTGCTGGTCCTTGAGCCCCCAGCTCCTGTGAGGTGCCAGGGGAGCAGCTGGGGGCTCAGCAGCCCCCTGTCCCCAGCAGTGCTCAGGCCATGGCTCAGGAGCAGTCAAGGACCCACCACCCTCTGCCAGGCTGGGTCTTGCTGCCGTCCCCTCCACCACACTCCCCCTTCCCCTGTGGTGGGATGAGTCCCCCCAGACTCTCAGTGCTCAACCCACTCTTCTTCTGCTGCAGACTGTGATTCCTACTGCAAACCAGCCAAGGGCAACTACAAGATTAACATGAAGAAGTACTGCAAGAAGGACTATGGTAAGGAGCTCCAACCTCCTTGAGCCACCCTGGGCTTTGGCCCAGAGGCAGATGAGGGCTGGCTGTGGGTGGGGCAGATGAAAGCATCCAGGGGGTGGGAGACACTCCCTATGGAGAGAGGTCCCCAAATCAGCCCTCCCAAAGCTGCAATGGATGGGGCAGGTGGGGCTGTTGGGAAGGGCAGTTCCTGTCCCCAACCTTCCTTTGGGGAGCAAGGCAAGGCATCCCCCATCACTGTGCCTCTCCCTTTTCACCCTCAGTGGTCCAGGTGAACATCCTGGAGATGGAGACGGTGGCCAACTGGGCCAAGTTCACCATCAACATCCTCTCTGTCTACAAGTGCCGTGACGAGCGGGTCAAGCGCGGTGACAACTTTTTGTGGATCCACCTGAAGGACCTGTCCTGCAAGTGCCCCAAGATCCAGATAAGCAAGAAGTACCTGGTGATGGGGATCAGCGAGAACTCCACGGACCGGCCCGGACTGATGGCCGACAAGAACAGCCTGGTGATCCAGTGGCGGGACGCCTGGACACGGCGCCTTCGGAAACTGCAGCGGCGGGAGAAGAAGGGCAAGTGTGTGAAGCCCTGAGGGGTTTGCACCCACCCTGTCCCCCCTGCCAGCCCCAGCCCAGCTGGGCACTGCCAGACTGCACCACAGACTCTGTACATATCCATAGTGTGAATGGACTCTTTGTCTATAGTGTATATTTTGGCAATGGTTTCCTGTTGTGTGCGTGTGCACGGGTGGGTGTGCGTGTCAGCCCTTTTCTCTAAGTGTGTATTAAAAATAATGCAGTAATGACAAACCTTTAACGAGGAGCAAAGTGGAGCAAGGTCCTGTGGGTGCCTGTCACCTGAAGGGGCTTGAAGGGGATTAGTGCCCTGCTCCAGGCATTCTGGAGCTCATTTTCAAGGCTTTTGTATTCCCTTTGACACAGTTGTCTTCTGCCCAGTGCTGATATCTCAGTTGACAGCTCTCCCTTCTCCAGCATCCAGGGTATGATTCTTCCTCACTCTGAAAATGTGCTGCTGCCAGGCCTCTCTCTGCCTTTCTCCTTGCCCAGGAGGAACAGGAGGTCAGAGTCTTCTGTCCCTCATTCCGATGTGCGGGCAGGCTGAGTGGAAGCTGTCCAGTGCTGCAGTGTCCAGCCCCAGGACCTCCATCAGGAAGGACAAATGAACTTTCACAAGGCCTGATTCCCCCTGGGCTCACATGGACCAGTGCTGCTGGCTGGGGCAGGACCTGTGCTGTGCTGCAGTGCCATAGGGAGAAGCCAAGCCCTGGCAGTGTGCTGGTGGCCACTACCAGGCAGGACTGTGTCCACCAGGGAGAAAGGGACAGACCTGGCAACCCCTGGTTGCCACTGTCCTGGTGCCTAGTCCAGACAACCCAGTGAGAAAGACCTGGACGCACCATTTTCCCCTCCCTGAGCTGGACTGGCCAGCCTGACTGGAGCCATCATGTGCAATCATCCATCCACCCAGGTCTGTGTGCCTGTATTCTCACCTGGTACCAACTGACAAAATTCCACCTGTTCCTGTTGAGACACCAAGTGACCATCTGCCTTGGTGTGCATCTTCAGAGCTGGCCAGACTGCGTGCTCTCCTGGGAAGAACTGGCCAAGGTTGTCCATGGAGATGCACAAGGCAGAGGTGACAGGAAGAAAGAGTTTTCATTGATCCACCTCTAGGCTTTTATATCTTCTTCACCGTGTATTAGTCTCTGGTTAAACAGACACCAGTATCTTCCCATGTTGAGATTGTAGCAGTCTTGGCTTAATAAATACAAATAGAAATAATAGGTGCTCTGACAATAGATATTCCTTTCCACACAAACCTTGCCTTGCTTATTGAATGGCTCAGTGAGGGGTTGTAGCCTAATGGTCTTCCATGAAACTTTACCCTTTCCAGCCCAGGGCAGCTTGTGTGACTCCCCATTCCAGGCTGGTGCTTCTGGGCTTCAGCGTCCCAGGGTGGTGCTGGAGCTTCCAGCTGAAGAGACTGGTGGGGCACTGTTGGGTTTCAGGACAGGGGAATCTGGGGAGTCAGGACCTAGGCCCTGGGGGTGTCTGTGTGGACATGCAGGTGCACTGGTGAAGCTGCTGGAGATGCTGGAAGTGCCATTGCAGAGCTGTGGAGGGCCTGCAGCGCCATTGTTCGGGTCCCATGGGTACTTGGGTGCCCACAAAGGGCACGGGCAGAGGTGTGGGGGGCCAGAACTGAGGGGCGATGGGTGGGTGGGACCACGTGGGCTTGGATGAGCTGATATTATCCCCCTCCCTACACAGACCCTCTCTCCTCCTCTCTGAGCTGAGGGGACCCTCCCATCCCTGGCTCCCCTTGTCAGATTGTCACAGACTGTTGGCCTCTGCCATGAGATGGCTCTGGTGTTGTTGGGCTTGGGCCCCCCAGTTCTCCTCTTCCTCCCATGGCTGCTTTCACCAGACTTGCCCTTGGCTCAGGCTCATTCCAGCCCCATGCACCCAACAGTCACAGAAGGGTTTGGGTTGGAAAGGACCTCAAAGGTCACCTTCTTCCAAGCCCTGCCATGGGCAGGGACACCTTCCACTGGACCAGGTTGTTCCAAGCCCCATCCAGCCTGGCCTTGGACACTTCCAGGGATGGGGCAGTCACAGCTTCTCTGTACAAATGCAGGGGTCCTGACACAGAAACCAGTGGTGGAACGCCCTTTGGGAGTGCAAGGACAGGACTTGCATCAGGATCATCCCTCAACATCACGCCTTGGGCTGTGGGGGTTCTCTGACCCCTCTTCTAGCAGCCACAGCCCAGAAAGAGCGGGGCAGTACCACGGGCATGGATATTTCTCAGGGCAGGGCTTCAGCAGCATGTGGTTTCTCCAAGCAAGGAGATGCACAATGTGTCTACATTCCCCAAAAACACTGGGCACAGCCTTCTCAGGCAGGGAACTCCAGGGTTTCCTTTGGGACCTGATTTTTCCTCCACTGAAGGGGAGCACCTAAAACTCTTTGAAGAATTTGATGATTGGAGTTCTCCATTTATCCTCCCAACAGCTCTTCCCTCTTCTTTCACCTCTGCCATCTGGGACTGTCGAGGAAGGATGGCTCCCAGCTGGCATCTCAGTGTCCTGCTGGGGCAGATCAGAGATGCCAGAGGAGAACCCCCACCCCATGGTCTGTGCTGGGGAGAGGAGCTCTCTCCCTCTCTCCCTCTCTCCCTCTCTCCCTCTCTCCCTCTCTCCCTCTCTCTCCCTCTCTCTCCCTCTCTCCCTCTCTCCCTCTGGCTGGGGAATGCCCTAAAATCCTGGTTGAAGGACTGCAGGAAGCCACTCTGCACTGAGTCTAGACCGAGGAAGACATTCTTCACTGAATCTGATCCCTGAAGGACTTTTCCTGAGTTCTCCTGCTTATGTCACCTCCATGTCCAAAGCAAGAATTCACCTTTCTTATTCCTCTCCTTCTGCCTGGCACGATCAGCTGGGAACTGGGGACTGCACATGGGTTTGGCTGTTCCTGGGTCACTGTGGCTGGATCACCCTGACCTGGTGCCAGGACACCAGGGGCAGTGAAGAGGCACCATGGATTTGCTCAGAGGTGCTGCTGATCCTGCCCTGTAGATCAGGCAGGGCTTGGAGCACCCACCAGCACAGGCATCGTTTGGTGGAGGGCTGCAGATCGGGGGCAGTTCCACACCCAGCAGCACCCACCCAGCCCTGCCCACCCCCTTGGTGCTGGGGGGAGCTTTGCACCCCTGGGAGCGGGCAGGGGCCATGGGTGACACAGGGCAGGGCTCAGGTGGCAGCGGGCTGTGTCACACAGTCCTGGGGGCTGCAGCCAACAGCCATGGGCTTTGCAGGGGCAGGAGAGACACTGCAGTGCAAGCTCTGCTTGGCACTACAAAGCCGTGTGTTTTCCAAAATAGCTCTTGAGGAAAAAAGCATTGATTGAGCAGAGCATTGCAGAGCCCGCGGTGCGCTCACAGCTCCCGGAGCTCGCCCGGCCCCGCGCTGGGAGCGGCTGCTGCGGGCCCGTGTGGGAACGGCCAAAACCACCACACACATTTCCATCCATGTGTTTTTATTAACACAGGTCTTTTCCCAGTATTCAGCTGGGGCAAAGCATTTGAGACACAAAGGCAGCGGAAAGAGAGGCCGAGTTTGCAATTTCCCCCCTGCTTTGGGACTGAATTTTGCAGCTGGTTGAAATTTTTCTCATTTCATAACACCAGTGGACATCTTTCATGAAAATACAGAATTTGGCCACGGAAAGACACAAAATGTGAGAATACTACAGCAAACTCAATGCTTTTTTTCTGTGTTGTCCAGCCAGCTCCACTCATGAGAGATGACAGGAGTTTGAACAGCTGAACCCCAGCCCGAGTGGACACACAAATGGATGTACGTGTATTTTCCATCATTTTGCTCTTGGTAACCACATAAATAAAATTGACTGCATCAGACAGGAAGGCACATTCCTTAGGTGAAACAGGATCAAGCAGGGAGCGTTTTGCTGGCCAGCAGGGCACAGCTCAATGCTGGGGTGTGGGAATATTCTTCCTGGTGAGGAGCTGAGCCTCTAAGGGGCATGATCTACTCAGAGTGATCCCCATCATGGCCTGACTTGCTCTTGCTCTCCGTGTTCTCCAGATGCTCTCTGGTACACAGAGCAGCTTCTGTCCGTGCTGCCCTGCAGATCCAAGTGGATCTTAGCAGTGGCTTCAGCTGTCAGAGAGCAGTGATGGTGGCTCTGCCAGCCCATGCTCTTCAGGCTTCCATGGTGGATAGCATGGACACAGCGTACTTTGCCACCTGTGGACATGGTATGAGGCAACTGTGGCCTGCTGCCACTCCTCAGGTGTGGTGACCTGCCCAACCAGCCACATCTTGTCCATCCAACCAGTGCCACATCCTCTGTCCCATGCCCTTGGTACTGCAGCACTCTGTCCATCACCCCTTACCCAAGCATGGTGTTTTACTTGGCACTTTAAAACCCTCACAAGTCTCATTAACATCCCAAATTTTGCCTCCTAAGCAAAGCACAGGCTCTGCAATTCCCAGCCCTACTCCTGTGCTACCAATCTCAACCATGGCTCTTTCACCCACTCAGGCTCCTTCCAGAGGGGCTGTAGGACCAGGGCAGGGCACACTTCTCCCACCCATGACCATGTCAAACAAGTGTTTGGGGAATTTAATTGCTCCAAGCCCCTCTTGTCCTTGCAAAGCTGTGAGAAATGTGCTGTTCTTCAATATGCCCAGTGTATTTTTTACCAGCCTTGGGGGCACTTATTGCACCAGCGTTAATTACCTGTCATTAATTAATTTGTTCACGTAGTCCTTCATCCATGCCTTGTTCATCTTTACAAGGGCACAATTCACTGGTTAAACACGTGCTCCCTGTGTGCACAGGATCTGCAGCACCTGTGTGGGGTCTGGGGGCACAGGGGGCTCAGCTCAGCAGCCTGAGGAGCAGGGAGAGCTTCCCCCCTCGGCTGGGGGGGAACATGAGGAAACCATTAATCGATGGGCTGGCCCGAGCCGTGTTTTCCTAAGGAAGAGCTGAGGACGGGGAACAGCTGGGGTCAGCGGGGCACCATCTGGAGAATCCCGTCAGCTCCCTCCTGCCGGGCTTTTCCCACCTCAGCGGCAATGGAGAGGATGAGGAGGGAGGGAAGAGGGGTCCCCAGAGTGCCCTGCCACAGCCCCAGCCCTGCACAGCCCCAGGCTGGCCCGGAGGCATCGCTGTGGCACAAAGAGCACCCACCCCGGGCTGCTGCCGCCCCATCAGAGCCATGCTGGTACCCCCGTGCCTTGGGCTCAGCATCCTTGGGCAGAAATCAATGATTTCTCTGCATGGGGCAGGATCAGACCCTCAGCATCCATCAAAGCTGATCCTCTATGTACACAGCCACTGTGAGACTCAATAAACAGACAATGTTTTCATCTTGGACAAGACACTCTACCCCAAAATCTTGGAGAATCAGCCTCTCCACTGTCAAACACCACACACTGCTTCCCCCCTGCACACCCACATGATGGGAACCATCAGCTGTGCAGGAGCAGGGAGAGGTGGCACTCCCAGAGGATGGCTGGTCCTGGAGAATTCCCTGTCTGAGACAGGCAGCGGCCAGCCCAGGTATCACAGTCACCAGCTGAGCCCTGGGCTGGCCACAGTGGAGATCATGGTCCTGCTCACAGCACAGGGAGTGAGGAGATGAAGACGGGCAGAGCAAACCCAGCTCAGCACATTCAAGGACTCTAAAGGTGCCCGGGTTGGGTCTCTGACATCTGGCACTGGC